CTTGGACAGAAGAATTTCTAGCACAGATTACACCATCACTGAAACCAAGAACACTGCTTTGAGACTTCCAGCTATTGCTCTGGGGAAGCCCTGAAAGCCAGAGGTGCCGCAATCCAAGGCAGAGACTGGAGTGTTGAGGAGACTTCTCTTTGCATACTCCTGATCCTGTCCCACCTGGGTCGCCAGAAACTGTCACCGAAAATCCGGGAATAAAACCTCGTAACACCAATGTAGTGTTAAAAGGCAGGCATTCTTTATTGCGACGTCGGATGCATGGGGGATAATTCCGCCGAACGTGCATACCCCATACCCTTTCCGTGCAGTTTATATAGATCAAAATATACATATTCATCTGATTACATAAGCCCTTTCTTTCATAGTCAAATCAGTTCATTTTCATACACTCCTCCCACCCGCACTTGCGCAGTGCCTCCTAGTGGTGGTCGTCAGGGGTCCTAAGATGAAGGCTTATCCTCTTCATCACAGTTTCTGCGCAAACTCAGTCCTCTTCTGGCTCTTGTCCCTGCGGCACGGGTCATCTTGACCAGTTCTAGGCACCTGCTGGTTTTAATTAAAACTAACTTCTTTGGGGAGAGATGTATGACTTTTTGCTTCAATTAATTCACACAATAGATAGGTACCACAAATACACCTGCAATCATTTGGTAACGCTATTTCTATTAAAAATCCCCCTTCACCATTATTGTTTAACATTAATGATTACCTAGGGACTAAACCCTCTGTTCCCAGACCTAATGTCCAGATGGGCAGGGCTGTACAAGGGACATAGCAGCATTGTTCGTGCTTTATGATTAACTAATTCCATCACCGTGGTTACACCGGGGGCTGTGGGCACTGTCGCTCTGCGCCTGGCTGGCCATCCCAGCCCCCCAGCTCGGTGCCCTCCTCTCCTACACCACCGAGGACGGTGGCAGTGAGCTTGCCGTTCATGGCTGTGGTGTGGACCTCCCTGGCTCTGCGCACTTCGTCATCGGAGACGGGCAGTTTCGGGAGCTCTCGGTGACGTGGCTCTTGGATGGCAAGTGGCACCACCTCTGCCTCACCTGGTCCTCCGGCCAGGGCCAGTACCGCTTCTACGTGGACAGGTGGCTGCTGGCCGCCGGCTCCGTCTTCCAGCAGGGCTATGAAATTCCCACGGGTGGCTCACTGGTGCTGGGCCGGGAGCAGGACCACCCCGGCAGGGACTTTAACACCGCAGAAGCTTTTGTGGGTCACCTGGCTGGCTTCGCTCTCTGGAGCCGGGCTCTCCTGCCTGAGGAGGTGGCCAGCATGGCAACCGGCCGGGGGCTGCCCCGCAGCCCCCTCCTCAAGCTGGCTGATGCCTCCCTGCAGGGCCCGCGCCCCGGCCTCCGCCCCTGCCTGTGACGAGCCCGGCAGCAGGACCAGTGCCGGCTCCCATCAGTCACGGCTGGCTCACGGTGCTGATGCCGGCATGAGCTGCATCCTCCTGGGGTGGTGGGTCACCAAGCAGAGAGGGCATCTCGGGACCGGGACCACTGGCGGGGGGGAAAAGCGAAAGCGGCTTTGGCAGGCCGGGGAAAGCAGAGGGGG